AAACACTTTACTACTGTTTAGTTCTGTGTGGTTGGGGAAGGTTGGGGTTAAAGGATTCAAAAAGTACATTTACCCACACCAATGTGTCAGCATGTACATGTACAGTCATTCAGAAGAAAAGTTAAACTTTAAGGTACAGGTGATTTGAATCACAAGGAATCAAGACATCTGTAACAAGGCAGTCATGAGAAAGTTACAACTCCAGATGATTCAAGTGTAGTGTGCATTGAACTGCGATAGCCAACACCATTCTTTGACTACATCTGTTCATCATCAGAGCAGAAAGTACTAGAGAACTCATTCTGGACTTGTGATGTTAATTTTAATATCTAGTAAGTTGGAGACTCGGGATTCTCCGTTTGCCAAGTGCTTGAAGGAAGATTTCAAGAGAAATAAAGGCGGCATCACAATAACAGACAGCGATCTTGGTTTGTGTCTCATGGGAAGTAGCAAGAGCACAACAGTGTGCATCAGGTAAGAGGCAGCCTTGGTGTCAGATACATAGAGCAGCGGATGTGGAATACCCTCCACCCCGACAAGGAAAGAATATTGCTTAAAACAAAAAGGGATGTCCTTTTGTGGTGATCATGTTCATTTTTCAAGATGGTTACCACCTGTTGGCCATGTGTTCTATTTTGGCAATTGGTTATCAACAGCCCTAGACTTAATACAGATTGTAAGTTGATATCTATGTTTTCGCTCTTTTCAAGCTTTTATCCTGCCATTGGTATTTCAGTTTCATTTTAAGAACATGAAGATAGACTTTGTAAAGGAAGTGATATGGAACCATTTGAATAATATGATCTCATGTGTTGTATTGTACTGGAAATGAAATGTTTAGCCAATCTATATTAACCATGTCTACCACATTTCAATGCCTGGTTCTGGTGGATTTAGTTCTGTGGGGTCCAGTCATCATAACTCTGAAGTTTGTCAGTCGGGATTTTTAAGTAGTACCATTCCATTGAATATATATTGAATACATTGTTGGAATGTTGGATTTGGACAGATAAAGTTGTTTGGGTCCAAAATGCTGACTAATTTCTCCACTCTTTGTGTGAACAGGAATGTTGGTGGTGAAGCTCATATTCTGACAGGTTACAGTGTTGTTTGTCCGACCGGTGATGTGTCTGTCAAGTTCAGTGCTGTATCTACAACAGAGAGGCAACCAAACCAAGCATCTTCTCCGTCCTCACTAGTGCCCAAAGAGACCTTTGACAACACACTACCTATAGCATTGCCTACTCTGACTGCTATGTTTGTAACACTGACTGTTGCAGCAAAGTAAGTTTAGCTTTTGGTCACTTGATTTCAGCTTCGACAGATCATTTGTCAATGTTAAAAGTGGTACATTTTTGTCACGGTACATACATGTAGGTAATTTCAGAAATGGTCATTAGGAACAGGGGTGTGATGTTTCAGGAGTTTTCTGAATTTCTGGATGTTGAACCAGAGGTTCTCGATGCTGCTGCCCTGTACTTTTGTGAAAAAAAATATAAGATCTGTCACATAAATGTATCTGTAATCATAACCATTAGGAAAAGAAGTCTTGCTTTGTTACCTGATGAATGCCCTGATAAGTCAGGGTTTGATTGTTGCTGGATATTTTGTGGTTTTTCTCTTCATGCTCTGATCTCCAATTAGGCAGGTGTTGATGTCATCACAACTCAATACAAGCCAAATACAAGTCGCCCAGTGTCAAGTTATGTCACAAGCCATTCCAATAAGTTGCAACAAAAGGATATTCATGCACGACATAATTAAGCCCACAGAGCATGTCTTGTTGTTTTACCCAATCAAGACAACTAGGGAAGTGTCTGTGTCAAGTCACCTACCACTTCAACAGCTTCAGCATCAGCCGGCTGCACACACTGAATGTTCAGGACCAACAGGTGATGGAGCTGGTCCCTGAAGGGTATGCCTCAGGGGGCAATGGGTCAGCTAGGAGCAAGGCCCAAAAAAGGATGACAGGGACCAGGGAGGCGGAGTTTGGTGGATGCATGTTCCCTGGTGTGAGACCCACACGGTAAGAAAGCTGGACTCTCCCGTCAAGCATACATCATTTGGCTACAACTATATGTAATAATAACATGTGTGTCTGTGAGAGCCACTAGTTGCAGCTGCAACCGTTTTACATAGATGTACCTGTTGCTGTAAGCCATAGCCAAATAATTTAGATGCCACCTCACTTACAGTTGACTTAGTGGACTCTACATGTGTAAGAAGCACAAGCCCAAGGAGAAAACTGCATAATTGGCTGCCTGCTAGAATTAATTGAAGTCATCACAGGTTCATCACAACTCACAACCATAGATTGTCCAGTCTAAAGTCACAACATGTTCAAATAAACTTTTGGTGCTCATGGTGATCCAGCTCTTAATTAACAGACTTTTTAATTCAGCTTGTGACTGATTGATTGCTGTAACCTTCAGTAACTAGTGACAAGACCAAACATAGCTTTCTGGCATTGATAAATAAAGTCTGATTTTGTCAAACTGTAATGTCTTGTGGTTGTTAATAGTCATCCTCATTAGTCATGAAAGCAGTACACATTTATTATATTCTAAAACCATTTTGGGGGTTACTTTTAGGAATTTTGATGTCAACGTTCCAGTGAAGTTACCCCAGTACCCGGTTCCTAGAGATATGAGGACGTGTGTTTTAGAGGAAGGGGATTTAGTCAGTGTGTGTCCTCAGCTCATGGAGGTGAGTGGTAATGTGGTTTCATTAGTAACCATTGCTCATATTACCCTCGTCATTTATTTGTTGGAATGAAACCAAGGATTCTCTAAGACAGCTTACAGCAATGTATAGCTTGTAAGTCTGTGGAAACCTGCCGAGAGAAGACACTGAAGAATGTTGCAGGTGGGAGAGCCCTTGTAGAATCAGGCAGGGCTCTTGTATTGAGAGATTTCACACTCAAGTTAGAGGTTAGAGGCATCTGTTGTGTTGTTTTATTGCACTGAGGCCGAAACAGAAAAACAATAAATTTTGTTCACCTCAAATAATGAGAAGATTCAGATAGTTTTTATTTGCTGTGAATGAGAGAGATTCTCTAGAAGAATTTTGTTGGCATTGTGAATGGTAGAAGGTTTGCAGTGATACCCCTTGATCAATATTTCCATTGATGTATGGCTTAGAAAAGGACCATTCTGCAGGAATAACTGGTTAACTCAGTCCAGAAATGAATGAGACCATTTGAATGATAGTATATACATTTGCTTTTGTGTTGTTTGTGTAGTCTCTTAGTTTGGAAAACTTCAGTCGCCGTTTTTCAGCTCTGTTGCATCTGGAGGAGATCGAGATGGACGAAGGCATGAGAGAGTTCGACATGGATAGGGTAAGAGAGAGAGAGTGCTGCTGCAGGGGGTCAAAATGGGGAAATATGACCCCTGGCACTTGACCCCTGAAGACTGACACCCACAATGAATATGAACAATTTCAGCAAGAAGAAATGAGCAACTTGAAATCAGTGGTATGAGGGAAGAACTTTGTTTGACTAAGGATCAATACGATCTTCTGTCACACCTGTTGTCAAAATTGCTTGTTTTGATTTTGGTGTCTTCTGGATGGGATTGGCTCAAAGACCCAACCTGTTTATGGTTTCTTTCATTTGTGACGGTAATGACATAGGCGAGCATGAGACCGCGTGGCGAGTTTCTCTCCCTGGAAGTACCTGGACTAGCCGAAGGTCGACCCTCCGTCCTTATTGGAGACAAGATTATTGTGATGCACCCAAACAGTGTTCGTTATGAAGGCTACATTCATGAAGTAAGGACCGATTTGTCACTAATCTCAATAAGTTGATTTTTCCTCTTAGCTCTAAGTGGGCAATTTCATATACAATTCTTCGACAATTTTAAGCTGTGTAATTATATCCGGTGTTCGTGTATGCCACATTCAGATAATTTTTACCAGAGGAAATGTACATAATGAGAAAAGCTTCTGGGGAGAAAAGATGTAAAGAACCACACTTATTATGTGATAACACCTGTTATTGTATTGTGTGTATATTTTTTGGCAGGTTTTTTTTTCAGTGCAAATGCAACCTGGATTTTGCAATCAAATGCAGAATGATTTTGCTCAATGTCTCGATGTTCAGGTTCTGGGTGAAGCTGTACTCCTCAAGTTTCATCCTTCCTTCCATGAGCTGTACCAGGCAGAGGAATGCAATGTCATGTTCACGTACTCAAGGTAGGCAGTTTATGGCAACATGATGACAACAGATCAGACTCGGAGTAGAACACACAGCGTATAGCATATTAGCATGCACGGTTGTTGACTATATGAAATTTGCTCCAATGTGGCAAAAGAGTTCTACATACGGACACTCGATGCAAAAGCTGAGGATTATGAGGTTGAATTCTCAAATTTCAAATTGATTTTTTTTAACATAGCGCAGTCTTTAGTGTGCGATATAATCTTATCTACACTAAATTTTCCCTGTTGATAATAGTCATTTGTCAAGAGGCCTAGATAAGGGTGGAAATCCAATTTTGTGATTAAGTGATGTTACGATTGCATTGTCTTTGCAGAACTTCATTGAGAAGGTGCCATCAAGCTTGTGAATTTGCCAAAAACCTGGGCAGTCAAGGTGCAGAGCTTTTTCTTCTTTGTCACTTGTATTCAAAATCAGATTTTGATCAAAATTTTCAAATCGAAGAAAACTTGCACTTAGGTATTTAACATCTAATCAAGAGTGGACCAATTTAGGTTTCAAAGACATTGGATAATTCTCAGACGAGGCAGTATTTACAGTCTATATCAAAGGCAAGTGTTGATGTCTCAGTTTCTAAAAAATTGCCAACATTTTCTCTGTAAAGTTGTTTGACATTCTCTGGTTAGTTTATGAGAAGACATTGAGTTATTGAATGTAACATCCTCATTTGAAACTTCCTGTTTGCACGTACAGTGTTATTCCCCACCAAAGTTGAAGCCAAGCCACCACAAGTTAGTGTCGCCTTCCGGTCGCGTGTCACTTCCTCTGTCACTAAACTGATATGTCACAAGCCAAGATCTATCATCAAGTTACCAACTTCCCAGAAAGTGGAGACGTCAACCAGGTCTCCAAGAAATAATGGCCAATGGAAAAAGGAGACACCACCAAGATTTACCAAAGGAAAAGGTAAACTGAATTTTAAAACTGTCAAAAGTATTCGAGTTCTCTCTGCTGAGTCGTGCAAAAGTCACCGAAGAAGAGAAGTTTATGTGGTTTTTTAAAGTCAAGTCGGTATTTAGCCAGTTCCTGAAAATTTCAAATTCTCAATTGGCCTAGATGTTTGTAATGTAGCAGACTTTGTGTCTTTTGATAGCTTCCAACACCAGCCCTGAATCTGACGATGCCAAGTTTGTGACGCCGAGGATACAAGATGTGAAAATATCGCACATTGCCGGAAATGGCCAGAAGATGGCAGAGTTTATCAACCCTCGTCTGAATGCTCGCCAGCAGTCGGCAGTCACCAGAGTCCTCCAAGGAGAAGGCAGGCCCTTACCTTACATCATCTTCGGACCGCCGGGTACATGTACAGTCTTAGTCCTCACATACTGATTCCAACTTGAAAAAAGTTCTTAATCAATGCTTTGCTGCACTTTTCCCCCCAAAATGGGAGCGTCTGTGCGGGATAAGGGTTAGACCTGAGGCTTGCATGTATTTTGGTAAATCACAACTCCGTCCTGGTCAAAGAAGCCAGACACTTAAATATAAACGATATGCAATCATGGTACCACTAGAGTAATAGTCGTGGGATTCGTCCATGCCAAAATGCCATCCGAATTGTTCATTTTTACATCATCACGAACAGTGTTTGCTCTAGTTGCTGATTTAGTGTTATTTGATTGTAATTTAGTTGGTAAGTTTTTCGTTGTTATTTGTGATTTGTATCTTTTCCTATGTTGAAATCCAGGCACTGGGAAGACAGTGACGATAGTGGAAGCGATACTACAGGTCCTCATTCACTTGCCCTCTAGCCGTATCTTAGCCTGTACTCCCTCAAATAGCGCTGCTGACCTATTGGTAGGTGCTAACCAAAGGCTAGAAATGCAAATGAAACCTTTGGCTTAAAGGTTGTCTTTGAGAGTCTCTTCTGTCTTGCGAAATTATCAGTTATGTTAATAATTAACAATGAATCCTTACAACTAGTAGTTATTTCTGAATCAAAAAGCTTTGTGCCTAAACATGTGTTCTCCAATTTTTGTGTTCTGAATTTCTGGGCAAGTAATGAATGATGTAATGCATATTTTGTATTTCAGACTGAGCGACTTCACAACAGCGGCAAGGTAAATCCTGGCGATATGGTCAGACTCAATGCTTTCCATCGATCAGAAGAGGTAAGAATTTGGATTTCTGCATGGACCTGGTGATCCTGGGTGTCATAAATGGGGGGCAAGGCACTTGATTAAGGGGTGGTGGGATGTTAGGGAAGAGGTGAACCTTCGGCATATGGTCAGAAAATTCCCCATAGATCAGAAGAGGTGTGATTGTTGTTCACTGCTCTGATTGAATTCTGGATGTCATCATCAGTGAAGGAAATTTGATACAGGGTGAAATAGGAGGAAGTAAATGTGGTAATTGAGTAAGGGGATGTATTTTATCTAGCAACACTGACCTCTTGGGAGAGCTGACTGTGTGAGTAATTACATTCTTGTGTCATTCTTGGTTTGTGCATGCTACTTGTCATAGCTACTGTGGGAAACAAACCTACTTTGTAGGAACACACCAAAGTCCCCACAATTTGATTTAAATTTTACTATTAAATGAAATCTCTGCAATCTCTACAACTATCTAGTGCAGAGTACATGCAACTAATTTACTGATTTGCACAAACCTATGGGGTCTGTGTTTGGGCACAGTATAGGCTTCTCCCTTTGTCACTTCTAAGGAAGGTACATGTAGTTACAGGACCCAGATATCAAGATGTCAGCCTAACAATAGATGCAATGACTGCTCTCGTGCAGAATATTCCACAATGCATCAGGCCCTACAGCAAGGATGGCGAGAACCTGGCGGTCATCTCCCACCAACGCATCATCGTCTGCACCTGCATCACGGCGGGAAGCCTGTACCAGCTGGGCCTGAAGTCGGGCCACTTCTCCCACGTGTTTGTGGACGAAGCTGGCCAGGCCACCGAACCGGAGTGCCTCATACCAGTGGGGCTGTCCATCGGGTCAGAAGGACAGGTAACTCATCCTAGGATCCTTGTCTGAAAAGTAGCATTTAAGTACATTAAAGTCATTTGTAGCACAATTTCGCTGAAACAAGTCACGTTACAGTATGTAAGTGATAAATATTTATGAGCGGGTAGAGTTTAGAATAATTTTATGAGGGGACAGATGGAATGTTCCATTCCACAAGGCGAAGCCAAGTGGAATGGAGCTTTGATTTGTCACCGAATGGAACACAGTATTCTGTTTGTGAAGACAGCCCCTGTGCCTACTATACACATGCAGTGCAATGTTCCCTTAAATGATGAATGTCAAATGGATAATGATAGAATGAATAATTCAGTGAATATGATTGCCAATCGACCAATCGCATAATGAGGATTTACTCAGGTGTTGCACAATTGTTATATTTCACTGTACGACAAGCCAAAACACAGACCTCAAGGACAGCTTTATTATTGCCGATTTTACAAGTTTAATACATCTTTCAATCAGGCTACCCTTCGCTTTACATCAGGGCCTGACTTTACCCTACCAGACCTGTTCAGTCCTGTTCCATCTTTTCTCCCCTCATGCCCATCCCTCCTCACCCCATCCAAATCAAAAGCTGATTTTTTTTTCCTGTCTCATTCCAGATAATCCTTGCCGGTGACCCAATGCAGCTTGGCCCTGTCTTGAGCAGTCACCCTGCTAAGCGCCACGGACTTGGCCAATCCTATCTTGAGAGACTCATCTTGAGGAAAGTCTACAGGAGAGATGCTGATAAGTACAGAGACCATGGATGTTACGATCCACTACTGGTAGGTTAGGTGATATGATATTAACAGTGTGGTGATATGACATATTGACAATAATGTAACAGTGACGGTTATGTAACAAGAGACTTTATTTAACTAAAAGTAATTGTTCTGATTAGAAGAGACTTTATTAAACTATAAAAGTAATTGTTCTGATAGGTAGAGATATTGGCTTCTGGGGCACGCTACCTGCACGTAGATCGAAGTGACAATTTGCACAGTTGACAACAGCAATGACAATAGCAATATAGGTGACAGTGACCATGACAGTGAGTGTAATGACCCGTACGCAGTGAGGTGTCATCTGCTGTCAGATAGGGCAAGCACTCACCCCGTGAATGAATAGGTAATGAAATTTTTAGGTATGGTCATTTTACTCCAGGTCACCAAATTGGTGGAGAACTATCGATCCCACCCAGTCCTGCTCAAGTTGTCATCAAAGCTGTTCTATGACAATGAGTTACTACCCAGGGCAGACTCCAAACTGACCCATAGTCTGACTGCATGGGAGAAACTGCCCAACACAAATGGCGATTGCCCGCTACTGTTCCACGGAGTTTTGGTAAGCACGAATTGGTTTGCTGATTGATAGGTACCCATTGCGTAGTAGGCAAGATGGTTGTCAACGTAACAAATAAATGTGAAACTGTAATACTTTGTTTCCCGGTGACATGGCATTGCGATGGTGGAGAATATTTAATAACGGTAGAAAAACAGTTGTACCTTTTCATTTCAAAGTGCAATTGAGATTTGGAATGGGCCCTTGTCTATATACACCCTATGGCAGTCTCGATGGTATATGAGCAGAGCTAATGTAGCATATCCTCCAGCACACTCATACAATTGCATTCTCTTGCCTGTACGCCCAGGGCGAGGACACCAGAGAGGGTAATAGCCCATCGTGGTTCAATCCTGTGGAGGTCGTGCAGGTCATCAGATACACTCAGATATTACTGAGCTCAACATCTCCGGTTATCAACACGGAAGACGTCGGCATCATCACGCCCTACAGGAAACAGGTCTGTGGAGGTGTAACGATACATTTCATGATATGATAGGCATCACAAACGTGAGGTCATGATTGGGTAATCGGCATGATATGTACCGTGACCTTGACAAGCAGGTTGCTGTTAAGACGGCTGTTTGACATGTGTGTCCATGCCTTTTGTATATGTGCTCATAAATAATTCATATTTTTGGTGAATGTTTTCCTTTACTTGTTCTTTAGTTGTAGAGAAAAACACTCGATATTTCACATATTTTGTGGCGACCGAAACTGTCATGGAGACAGAAATATCCCCTCAACTCGCTCCATATTTGCCTAACAAAAGAAATTGTCCCTCAAGGCCTACCCATCATATACCCATCAATATTCATGTTTGAGGCACAATATTAAATGGTAATTTTTTTTATTAAACGAGATGTGCACACAAATTTGGACTAGTGTTACTTGAAATCATCGTCGTTCTTAGCCAATTGTCACAATCCTTTGTGATGCTATAAAGTGGTGTCATCATGACTATCTATACATCGACGTATCATTACACCCCACAAGTCAGATCAAAAGATTATTGCCAAAGTTCTCTTCAATGTGTCAGCCTCAAGGCAGAATGGCTCTACAGGTGCCGAGTGTATCCAATAAAAAGAGCAAATTTGTCAGTTTTTGTAGGTCTGTAGTGTAGAAGTCTGCTTACAGTTGTTTTGTTTTACCATCAGGTGGAGAAGATAAGGCTTTTACTGGCCAGCCTAGGTGTCGACGGTATCAAGGTGGGATCTGTCGAAGAATTCCAAGGCCAAGAGAGGGTTGCCATGATTATCTCCACGGTAACCACTCAAAATTTGCTTCAGATTTGGTTCATGGAGTCAAGCATGCATCAGAGCTTTTCACCCTCGGCTGACATTTTGTTTTCCAGATGTATTAAACGTATTGTAAAATTCACAAAACCGTATCAGTGTCATTCCAACCTTACACAAACTGGAAACCTTACTTTTAACAGCTGTTCACCATTTTGCTGTAAGTCCTCATACACAGATGTCTATGTACTTGCTAGATATTAGCAATACGAAATTAAAAACTCTAGTTTTTATATCTTTGTTAGGTTCGTTCCAGTGAAAACCTATTGACCTTTGACCTGCGGCACCATCTTGGTTTCCTTAGCAACCCCAAGAGGTTCAATGTGTCCATTACCCGAGCCCAGGCACTGACGATTATCGTGGGCAATCCTCACCTGCTGGCAAAGGTGAGTTTGTCGTCGGTGAAGTTGAAACGGGACCCCAGTGTTGTGTCCTCACAAGACCTCACAGTTCAAGAACAAGTTTACAGTCTCACGTCACAAGCTACTCAGATGAGCTATGGGAGACAAATGCATTCATCTGTCATTGCTCATCCACTTGTTGGAAGCGACCAGACCTGAGATGTGACATGTGTTTTAACTTTTTGATTTGACTTGAGACAGACCTCTGATGACTCAGAGTACAGCTTCCTGGGGATACTTCACAAAACAGACATTAGAACTGGATTCTCCCAGAGACTATTGCAAAACATGCCTTGCTCAGAAGTACTGCCTGCTCTAAACACCTGTGTCTTTATGAACAGCGTCTAGGCACATCTTGGGGTTTCCGTAATTTGAATTTTTATCCTTGTAGCTCTGGAGTGGCTCATGCTAGTTGGGAAAAGATATCTTGCTTCATGCTTTATTACTATTAAGGATCACATATGAATATTTACTCCTAAGTCTTGTCTCTTTTTCTGATGTCGTACACACTGTATTTCCTAAAATGCCAAATGGATAAAGAGTCATACTGCTATACAAATCGAAGTCTGAGCTGAATTGCGAAAGTAGAGCTCATGGTGTACCTATTAGGGATGAAATGCAAGGAGTCATCTCAAATATCATCCGGGATAAGTTTGGGGGAGGTGGGAAATTGTGGGCAGAGTGAGTCCTCAACCTGAAATTTCCCTGCAACAAGCTGTACATTAATTGAGGAGAAGTCGTGGGCAAATCTGCATGCAGGTCACTTACCAGAGAGCTTGTAATAGGTGGTCAGAATAAGAGGTTTGCAGTTTGCAGAGACTGACGTTGGATTACTCAACACACTGCTTTTTTCTTTTCGGTGTTGAAGACTGAATCAGATGGTTGGTTGGAAATAAAATTCTACAGACTAGTTCCCTCTGAATTTGCTTCACTCACTCGTTAAATGTACAAGTTTTGTTGCCTCTGCCCTGTACCTTGTATCCATTCAGTTCTGAATTCAATACTGGAAGCCATTTGTAGATCAAATTGCAAGCTTTCAAAATATGCTTTATCACCAGATTAAATGCAAATAAAGGTATATTTGCCTGAAGTAAAACCATAGCTTTTCAGCCGGGGAAAAAGCATAAAGAAGCTTTGTATATAGTCAAAGTACATTTATTCAAAGTTTCAAAAAGCTCTGAATTAGGAGTTAGCAAGGCAGTCCTTTGCCTGTGGCTTTTCTGTCACCAAACCACAGGTGTCCTTGAGTGGCCTGCTTGGCCCAAACCCCAATTGGGGGAGGGGGAGGGGGAGAACGTGTATACAAATGCTGGTAACGTCATTCCGGGAAATTTGAGGGGAAGCTTTTCAGGAGCCTTCAACATTCACACTCTTCCACAGTTTGTCCTCGACTTTCCCCGGACGAGATTTGAGATGACTCCTAAGTATGCCTCTGTTTTCTAAATAGGATCAGCATTGGCGAGCTCTGATTCGCTACTGCCTGGAGTGCGGTGCCTACACCGGTTGCCAACCGCCTGCTCTTCCACCTGAGGAGGACGATAATGAGGAGGAATTACTGGATGGGGGTCAGGAACCTGATGCATTGTTACTGTGGCAACAAGAATCAAAGATGGATGTTGGGGCTCACTCATCAAAGGATCTTGAGAGCCATCCCACAGAGGAATTAGCATCACAACCAGGCAGTGGTGTTACTGAACAAGGAGAAACTACAGAACAAGGAGAAGACAAGTGCAGTGAAATTGGTCAGGCACCAAATGGAGCGGTCGCAACACAACATCTGGGTATGGATTCCAGCCATCCAGTGGGGGAAACTTCTGCGCGAAAGGACAAAGCAGATTATCAGAGTGATATCGAGGTCAATACAAACCGTCTAAAGCCAAAAGTTCAGTTTGAAGTCCCGAATATGAACCACTTGGCCGCTGAGGATTCATCCGACAGTCGACCTTTTGAGACAAGTACACCAAACGAGAGTGAGAAGACTCTGTACACCTCCAAGCCCAGCCAACAAGAGAAACCTGGATTGTGCTCAGAGGTCGAGAAGCCTTGCAAAGTATCCCATCTTGCTGATCTAACCAATAAAAGAGTGTCGTCAGTTTCCACTGAAAATCCTTCAAACTGTCTGCAAGGTGAAAGTTTTAACACCAATCCATCAGTGGAACTCAGCTCAGTTGAGCAACTTACAGATGAATCCCAAAGCGTGCCATCTAATAAAACAAATGATGGTACGGTGCCAACACTTTATCCTACCAGTCACAGAAAAGAAGTTCATGAGAAGCTATCCTTGGAGCAGAATGTTCCCGTTGGTAGCAGTGAATTTGTTCCTGGGGATACAATCTCAGATGCCAAGGGTTCTTCCACACATTCACTTTCTCAAAGCTACATACAAGTAGATAAGAAACTAAGAGTACACTCATCCTTTTCATTCTCGTGTTCAGATCTAGAGGATCCTAAAGGATTTACAGAGTTTCTCGACGACAATGACCTGAACCAGCTTAAACCCTTGTCAAAAGTTCAAGTCCTGCGAGGTCAGAAAATCCCTTCCCGTCAGAGTATTTTAAGAAGTCATCAGGACAGGCACTTAGAACCAACTCAAGGACTGTGCAGAGTGGAAAAATCAGAGATACATCAAGAAGATGGTGTTGAGGTGGTGTTGCTAAGTGACACGTTCTCCGATCCAGAGGTCTGTGATCCTGATAAACCACTTACTCAAACCAACACCATCCCATCAACTAAAGAACCACTGTGCATCAGAGACAGTGTAAGCTTATCCAGCGCCAAGAACCAGCCATCATTGATGGAAAGAGAGCAGCTTGGCATTTCACTTATACCCATTCCAAGTGATTATGCCCAAAAGACAATTGCTTCACCGGGATCCAAGATAACATCTGATTTGGATTCCGTCCAAATATGTGATGAAGGGGAGGACCCAGAAATCTGGGATGAGGAGTACGACACAAAAAGAGTCTCTCATCAAACTCATGGTGTAGGGCATCAGCAAGATGAAGCTGCTGCCAGCTCTGAACAGCAGAGTGAGGACATCGAGAAGTGGGATGACTACTCCTGGGAGGTCCCACCTATGAGGGGCCTATCTTTCCAAGGTTGTCCTCCTTTGCAAGAACCTCAGCACACCTCTCTTAAAAACCATCTTTATCTCAAAGCTGCAACTTCCAGGCTACAGTCAAATTTAATGACAGACAATCTTGGAAGTGAGACCTCGCTGGTAGACAATTCCACCCACCGCTGTCCAGCAGCAGAAACTCAGCTCGTAGAACCAGACCAAGACATGCCATCCCTTGAAGGCTGGCCTCAAGCGGGAATGAAGCACCAAGACAAGATGCTTAAAAATACTAACATTCCAACCATGCAGCGAACAACAGGAACTCATCAATATCAACACAATGAAGTTATCAATGGACATGCACAGAGACAGACAGACTACTGTTCAACTCAAAGGATGTCTCATTCTTGTGAGCCTGTTGGTGGACCTTGTGGTACGTCTCCAAGTCCTTTTCCCTTTGGCTTGGGGAGGGGCAGAGGGATGCTTTCTGAAAAACTGAGACAAGCTGCACAATCCAAAAAACCTGGAGGCAAATCCAGTCCATTCAAGAACCCCTGGAAGGTCAGTGCTCCAACTTACAGCAACAGTCCACACAAGCTGAGTTCCCAGCAACAGATACAAGTACATCATCAGACCTGTGACACGAGCCCTGACGTCATCCAAGGAAGACAACCCGAACATCGAGGGAGGATATCTCCAAGAACTGGCGAGAACACGAAGCACCAGACCACCCCGGGCAGTCCGCAACAGGATGCACATGTGAACAGAAACCGAAACCCCGAGGAGAACAGTTACAAACTTGGTCAAGCTGAATCTGACGAGTCTGGTAACCAAGAGGACTCAGATGATTGGAGCCAAGACAATCACCCTCCCTTCATCTACAGGAGACCCGTCAGCAGCCACCAGAAAGGCAGGAAATGGAAGTACATGTCACAGATGGGAAGCAACACCCCCAGATCTGATGCCAAAAGATACACAAAGGATGAGGATTTTATGGGTGATGCAAAGAACACTGTGAATGTCAGGAATCATGAACAGCACAAGGCTAACCTGTGCATGAGGACAGATCCTAGGTGGACAGGGGCTTATCCCGTCGCTCAAAGTCCAGAAATGCTAGAGGACTACGATGTCATCATTGAGAGCAATGGTGACAACAGCAGTGATTGTGCCAACACACCCCAATGCGTAGTTCACCCATAGGCTGTGGCGCTACACTATAACCTTTGTTCATCAGATTCATAAAACTACATGTACAGTAAAATGGATTTAACCGAACATTTCCAACCGAATTTTGCTTGAGGTAGGTTACTACGGTACATTGCTTTGAGAATATTTTGAGCTTTAATTTTTACTTCCAATTTGCTTTCTTGTTTTTACTGACGAAAAGACTTCCTGATTTCAGGCAGAAGTTCGATTTCTTGTTTGTAAAAACCTTTTGTGGTTCTTTCATGTCACTTTTAAGAGTTCTTAGGTTTTTAGAGTCAGTGTTTGTCACCACAATGGCCACTATGCCATACTTGTTCATTTGTTAAGGATGAACAGGAGAAGATACTTGCCTTTTTTAACAGAAATATATATTGCTTTATTACCAATAATCTAAATTGGGTTGCCAAAAATGGGAAACCAAACTTGTTTTTGTGCCAAGTTTTAAGCAAAACTTTTAAGTAATGAAGAGTGATACTGAATACGTAAACGTTAAACACAGGGACAACCACATAGCCAAAAAAAGCAGTATGACAGAAACAGAATATTTTCATTTATACATTTCATAATTGAGGCTTCCTTTCCAACTTTTGAAAATGATTTCATTTTATTTGTTGGTTTCCAATTTTATTTCTTTGTTTTAACATTTCATTTTAAATAAATGTGCTCTGCCTAGAGCAATTTGTTTTCAATACAGGATCTGCATCATTTGAGCTGGAGTTCTAAATTCCAGCACATTATGCTGTATCACATTATACGTACACCACATTCCTTATCAGGGATGTGAGCCCAGTAAAAGCCTGATTTCTGGCACTTTTCAAAATTCAAATAATGCACCAAGAACCTTTGCCTGTACGTACACCTGACATTTCATAAAATACATTACTGATCTATAAACTTGATAAATTCATATCAACCACACATTTCCTTTTCTAATATATAGAACAAAAACCGAGAAGACAAGATGCCCACAAATTTCATGTTTTTCCACTTAAAGATGGTTGAACAGTTGCCACGGATACCAGCTGCGCTTGCATCACAGTTCTGACCCCGTTGCCTGCATTCCTCTTTGTAACAAGTCGAGCATGATTGGATAAATAGGGGCAAACTCCTTGCCCTGTCTTGCTCGGACTGATTGTACATACGCCTCCAGGGTTCCCCTGTGGGTTAAGATCAAACCAAGATTCTGCAAAGAATATCCACTTTGGTTCCCTGTGTGCAACACAAGACCAAATTCAAACGAACACCGTCCATTACGTCTGTAATGCTCTGTAACCCTAACCTTTTTAGGGTGTGTGAAAAATTGTTACGATAAATATCTATTAGTTTAGCTCTTCCTGCCAGTCAAAAGCTCATCCCATGGCAGGTATTAAACAGTTTAAAAAGCACTAGCTAATTGGGTGCCTATTCGTGCAGTATGTGCCTTACACACTCCAATCTCCATAGTAAGGAGACTGTTGATGACTACTTGTGAGAGAAACATACCATAACACTCTTCCTGGAGCATCAAACATCAGCTTCCCGAGTACTAAGTACACCACACATTATATTTCTAAATGCGTGTTCTAGATGTAAGCTGTATGCAAAAGGCTGGACAGTCATGCACGGAATAAACATCCTCCAACGCAACTGGTACCCTGCTACTGTTTCACACACACACACTCACCTGATGAGCGCCAGCCTTTCCTTCTCAGACGTGTGTTCACTCAGCCACTGGGAATAACGCGCTGTCGACCAGCCAGCAACCTGAGGAGCATTGCCAAGGCGTTCATTCACACAACCCAAACAATTTTGCTTCATGCTTTTGAAGCAGAATTTCTATGCAAGACGACATTACTTCACACAGTGTAAATGTTTGATACCATTCACCTCAAACTTCAAACTTTCACTTCCAAGAAAGTATTTTCTTAAGTTGATTTACCACTTTAAAACTTAACTGTTGGGGCCCATACCCTTATCAGAAAAAAATCACATTGAACCTAATGTTGCTTTAATTTTACAAACAAAATTTTGATGCTTGTTTTTCCCAAAGTGAGAATTGCAAAATATCCCCACTTATTCAAAACTCCACTTGGTGGCTGCAATATTGAGAATCCTTCAGAGCAATTCAGAAATCTTGCTATCACTCAAACAAATGACAAGAAATATATTTCTGACTGGAATTCTCACCTCATGGGGTGACTTGAGTTCCTGAGGGGCTCGGGCGAAGAGGAAGTGCAGCGCTGTGGAGTGCGGGATGATCTCTCCCATGGCAGGACTGTTGGCGATGTGCTCGGATGTCTGGAAGAGCAACGGCCTGAACGCTCGCAAGAGCTTGTAAGGACGGCCTAGATCTGAGACACGACGACACAGTGGCACCACCGCCAGCTCCATCTGATAAAAGTCACATGGGTGGACAAACTCAGCATGAATAATAACAGATGTAACATCTCAAAATCACAGTGTTATGCACTTTTACGACGTGGCAGTAATTGAGAAATGATGACCTAGCCTTTAGGCTTTTAGATTAGGTAGTGTCAGAGCAGGTTTGGAATTTCTTTCTATCAAGATGTCCTGATCCTATTAACAAACTTCCCGTCCTGAATTTGAGTGAATACGGCCTGGTGCCTTTCCCCTTCATCGTCGGCTTCACCGCAGGCTCGGCTATACGTTTTAAGTGTTCACAGCAACAAATAAAAAACCTTCTGTTGGCCACAAAGCAAATAATTTGGTGTTTGTGAGACACCGAGCCAGAGGATCGCAACTCAAGAAAATACATCTCTGGAGACGAGGCCTGAAGCTGAGGAAAACACTGAGATTTTGACAATATCTTTGGATTTGTGCTGTTCTCATAACATTTGCTCACTCCGGCTTGTAACGCTATGGGAATGTACCGTGTTCCACAAACAACATACCAAAAGGAAGAAGACTTGCTGAGGATTGAAACATTTCATGAAATACCTGCCAAATCTTCCAAGGGTCACTTTTATTTCCTCGACACTTTTTGGCGAGATCTCGCCCGACTCACCTGAGCAAAGTCAGCGGCTAGTCTCATCTTCCCTCCCTCACCGAGGGGGCGGAGTAAGCTGGCGTGCCGGACAAACAACTCAATGGCTTCACAAGCCATTGGATGCACACTGAAGGGAGCATGAATGACCAAAGAAAAGTCTGTAAAAACCTTAAAACAAAATAACTTCCATAACAATTCTTAACAATTCCTTTACTGTATTTCCAATCCACATCGAATACTTTTTGATTGGAATCTGCGCTCCTCAAGTCCCATGTACATCTAAAGTAACAGGGCTTATTCATTCCATGGTGTAACTGAAATAAGCACACAAGTTAAATGGTATAGAAAAATATTTTGCTAAGACAGATACAGGGTACCAACCAAAGTACCTTGTGATCTGTACTGCTTGTAGCTGGTCCCCTGATAATTTATGCTTAGCCAGAACACTCACACAAATAAACATTATGTTCTCTTAGGCAGCTCAGTAACTGGAGGCCAGGCCCTGAATTGTATCGAATTTGTCACTGCAAAACCAGGTACTGGATTTTGAAGGACTTGGCACAGTGGAGTAAATGTCGGTATCCTCACCTGTCAATGACAAAGTCGCTGCATTTGAATGGAGCTAGATAGTCAATCTGTACGCGTGCAATGAAGCCTTGCAGCTCCCTCATGTACAGAGAGCACGGTGCATCGACAGCCTCCTTGCCTGATCCACTTGGCTGTCCACTGTCAGGAGACAAAATTCCCAATATCGTGAAATCAGGCAAAAATACAAAAACAAAATAAAATGAGATGAGAGGAAACATTCCATGATGTAAAGTTTGGCTGAGACTTGATAAGTGTGCACCGTGGAAAATAACGGATTTGGTTGTGGCATCGTTCATCTCAGTATAGAGCTCATTAGTTCCTCAGAGGTGTTGGCTCAAGATTTCAAACATCATATTCAACTCATCTCAAGCAGACTGCTAGTGTGGTTTGGCTTGTCAATATTCATTTTTTTAACTTTAGGATTCAAATGCTCTAAATTTTTGCTTTTTATTCCTTCAGTGCTCTACAAAATCATCAGTATTGAAGTCTCCAATCACCATGACCACATTTTATGGGTGTGTGCTTGTAGAGACTTACCCCTTAAAGTCCTCATTGTGCATGGTGAGAATGATTGCCTCAATGGAATCAAAGATGGAGTTGAGCAGTGGCTTGAGTGCATTACTCATCAAAGCCACGATATCCTAACAATGACAGACAAAAGATCCACTTTTAAAAATTAATGGAAAGCTACTTCCAAAAACAATGAAAATATTTTTAATTACAACAAAGATATCTGATTCTAACCACAACCTTAAACTGATCAACTTTAGCCAATAACCTACAATGCCAGTTGTATAACTTGCACAGGATGGCCAACAACATTGCCCATACTATCCACAACCTTGCCTACTTGCTCAGCTGGGCCAGGGAAGTTGCTAATACTANTACGATTCCTTTGCTGTATTTCCAATCCACATTGAATACTTTTTGATTGGAATCTGTGCTCCTCAAGTCCCATGTACATCTAAAGTAACAGGGCTTATTCATTCCATGGTGTAACTGAAATAAGCACACAAGTTAAATGGTATAGAAAAATATTTTGCTGAGAAAGATACAGGGTACCAACCAAAGTACCTTGTGATCTGTACTGCTTGTAGCTGGTCCCCTGATAATTCATGCTTAGCCAGAACACTCACACAAATAAACATTATGTTCTCTTAGGCAGCTCAGTAACTGGAGGCCAGGCCCTGAACTGTATCGAATTTGTCAATGCAAAACCAGGTACTGGATTTTGAAGGACTTGGCAAAGTGGAGTAAATGTCGGTATTCTTACCTGTCAATGACAAAGTCGCTGCATTTGAATGGAGCTAGATAGTCAATCTGTACGCGTGCAATGAAGCCTTGCAGCTCCCTCATGTACAGAGAGCACGGTGCATCGACAGCCTCCTTGCCTGATCCACTTGGCTGTCCACTGTCAGGAGACAAAAATCCCAATATCGTGAAATCAGGCAAAAACACAAAAACAAAATAAAATGAGATGAAACATTTCCAGATGTAAAGTTTGGCTGAGACTTGATAAGTGTGCAGGATTTGGTTGTGGCATCGCTCATCTCGGTATGGAGCTCATTAGTTCTTCAGAGGTGTTGGCTCAAGATTTCAAACATCATATTCAACTCATCTCAAGCAGACTGCTAGTGTGGCTTGGCTTGTCAATGTTCATTTTGTTAACTTTAGGATTCAAATGCTCTAAATTTTTGCTTTTTATTCCTTCAGTGCTCTACAAAATCATCAGTATTGAAGTCTCCAATCACCATGACCACATTTTATGGGTGTGTGCTTGTTGAGACTTACCCCTTAAAGTCCTCATTGTGCATGGTGAGAATGATTGCCTCAATGGAATCAAAGATGGAGTTGAGCAGTGGCTTGAGTGCATTACTCATCAAAGCCACGATATCCTAACAATGACAGACAAAAGATCAACTTTTAAAAATTAACGGAAAGCTACTTCCAAAAACAATGAAATACTTTTAATTGTTTATATCTGATTCTAACCACAACCTTAAACTGATCAACTTTAGCCAATAACCTACAATGCCAGTTGTATAACTTGCACAGGATGGCCAACAACATTGCCCATACTATCCACAACCTTGCCTACTTGCTCAGCTGGGCCAGGGAAGTTGCTCATACTA